TTGCCTCTTATAAAATAAGACAAGAACAAAAAGATAAAGCCTTTTGTGTTTCATTGTCAATATTTTTTTAATTTTTTAAATTTATTTGTTTTAAGTTTTAATTTCTTTTTTTTATTACCAGAAAGATAAAGATGTATGCTATTTAAAACAGTGAACAAAAATGTCAGTTGTCATTTAAAAAAATTATTATTTTTGAAAAAAAAAAATTGGGCGCCTACCTAAAAATTGTTCCTAGCTACGGGCCTGCGTAAATGAGGTTGTCATTTTTGTAATTGCAACTATTAAAGAAATTTTCTAACTTTATAATATAAAATATTTGTTAAAATAAGAAAAAAAATTGCAAAAAAGTAAAAAAGTGTTAAAATTTGCCCCACTACCGACAGTATTTTAACAAAAAATAAACCTATTTGTTGTTTTGACAATTTTAACATAGACAGAAGTATTAGAGTTGGGGTTATTCTGATGTTTTAATGAGGAAATTTTTTTTTATTAGATATTGAATTACTTTCGTTAGTACTTTTCAACAGTAAAATTTAAAAAATATTTGTATCAATGTAATACCCTCCAATAGCATTGCCACTTACCCACCTCTAATGCATTATAGCCCTTGGTCCATAATGTAAAAAAATATAATTTTTAAATTATAATTTTTTTGCTAGTGAAACAAATACGTGTATTTTTTATTTTTTATAAAAAGAGAGCTCAAGTTCAGGGCGGAAATTTGCAGATAATTGGATTGCTCCACAAACTGGAGTAATAAAACTCGCAATTGAGGGAAAATAAGACATTTACTGAAATTTCAAGTCTGATGAGGTAAGCAAAGCGAACATACGTTACCGATCAATTATTATAAATTATACGCCTGTCGCTTAATTAAATTTTATGAACGAGATGAGACAATACTTAAGTAACGATTTTTTACATACGACCTTGCCCTGCAGGTAATCTTCTTCTTCACCACATATGGCTCATCCTCTTATTTAGGAGGGAGCCATCGTTTTCTATAAAAGCAAAGTGCCAAATCTCTTCATCATCATTTAATAACTGATCATTTCTCGTAACTTTCAACATGAAACAAGTGAGCAATTCGACTGTTTTAACACATTCACATTAAAACACGCTGATTTTTCAGGTAGTTTTAGCTTTGGCTCTTCTTGGCGTCGCGGCTTGTGCCCGTCTCGACAATCTCAAGTACCTTCCTCCAAACAGAGGCGGCTCTGCATCCGGAGCTTCCGGTAGTGGACAATATTCCGGTGGTTCATCTGGGCAATATTCCGGTGGTTCATCTGGGCAATACTCCGGTGGTTCATCTGGGCAATATTCCGGTGGTTCATCTGGGCAATATTCTTCCGGTGAAGCTTCCGGCCGCTTTTCCGGTGCTTCCGGTCCTCAGGTCCCCATCCTCCGGTTCGAAAACAACGTCAATGGTGACGGTAGTTACAATTTTGCTTATGAAACCGGTGATGGTGTCCAAGCTCAGGAGGAAGGTTATTTGAAAAATGCCGGATCTCAGGATGAAGCTCAGGCTGCGCAAGGCTCTTTCTCATACACTGCCCCCGATGGGCAACAAATCTCCCTCACTTACACCGCCGATGAAAACGGTTTCCAACCCCAAGGCGAGCATTTGCCTACTCCTCCCCCAATCCCAGAAGCTATCCTTAAATCCTTGCAATTGAACCAGGAGGAAGAAGCGCGTGGTATTGTCGATGATGGGCAATACAGGGAACAGCCCCAACAATTTGGAGGACGAGGGGCCCAACAAGGACAGTTTGGAGGACAACAGGGAGCTCAGGGACAGTTTGGAGGACAACAAGGCGCTCAGGGACAGTTTGGAGGACATCAGGGAGCTCAGGGACAGTTTGGAGGTCGGCAAGGGACTCAAGGCCACTTTGGAGGACAACAGAGTGCTCAGGGACAGTTTGGAGGATACCCTCAAGGGCCTCAGGCTGCTCAGGGGCAATTTGGGGGCAGACAAGGTGCGACTCAGGGTCAGTTTGGAGGTTCTCGGCCCCAACAACAGTTTGGAGGACCTGCTTCTGCCCCACAACAGCAATTCCGCGGTTCTGGAGGAACTCAACAAGCTGCTAATGGAGGTTACAAATACTAGTCCGGTTTGATCTGCGATAACGAATGCCAAGATGCCAAGATGTATTAAAAATATGTACCTTATTTTTATTGTAAATATTGTTAATAACAATAAATTATTATTTTGAAGGAACAGTTGTTTTATTTATTATAATTTCTAGAGGATTAAACATTACATAATAAAAATAAGAACGTCAAGTGTAATTTGTTACGTAAAATTATTATAAAAAGGTTATATTTATTATTTAAGAGATCGTCTTGACTGATATTTTAGCAAGCAAATAAGGATAATAATGATTTGCAGTTTTCTGCATGTCAACGAGAGAGTAAATCATTATTACTAATCCTTTTGTAAAATTATAGTGTTTTATTTTATGGTTGTCTCTTAAAATATAGATAAAATTAAATATCTCGTTAAAAAATAGTCCTTGTTGGTTGCATAGTGTTTCAATTTTTTGCAAAACTGAAAAAAATTGCGATTTCAGAAAAAATGTACACTTCATACTTTTTTTATTGTACATATCGTAAATACTTTCATGAAATTATAACAGGATGTTGCAATTAAGCTTCTTCATTTTTCGACGAACCCAAAGAGCTAAAAAATGAGCAATTTACAAAATTGCCAACACCTAGTGTGATTTTCATCATATACCATCATGTGTTTTATAATAATATTACCATTAGACCTCTAATGCATCCTCTCCTGTAACATGTGATTATGGTAACCACTTCTCCGTGTTTTTTATCTCTGCAGTTATAAATTAAAATACTTTGTATAACATAAATTACGCTCAATTATTTAATGCAATTTATGTCCTTGAATCAGAAATCACTTTAGTCTTATTTCGCAAATTATTACCGCTGTTAGTGGGAGTTTTAGCTATAAATAAAGAAATTGGGTTCATCACACATTCACTTTTAATTTGAACTAATACTAGAAATTTTACGATGACCGCAGCTGTCGACTCTTACCTGCAAAGCATGGCCTCTATTATAATTTTTGCCCACATAAACCTAACTGCGGTTTTGCTTTATGACTTGATTGTGTTCCATACAATCGACCAAACACAAAATAAGTCAATTCTAACGTAAAGTGGTTATCACTACTATGTTGTCCATTATGTGTAATTTGCATCTACATAATGCGGAATTTATGTTGTACAAACACTGGAAATTGGATTATGAAATTTGTTTAGTGTTGCTATTTGCAGAAAAAAAATTGTGCTAGGAAAAAATATAAATTTAAGGATGTTAATTAAATATACGCAGTGGCGTAGCAATTGAGGATGTAAAGGTTTTCAGGCTTGATTCAATATGATGTCTTTCAGTTTTCAGTAGTTTTATAAAAGGTTGATAAACATTAAAATAGTCTAAAAAAGTTTGATTTCTTGTTTTATTTAGAGCATACTTAATATAACCAAGTTTTAAAATCTATACAAGGTGTTAACAAAAGATTGTAAAATATTTTAGGAGGTAGGTAATAGTAAGGACCAAAATAAACAAAAAAAGTCTTAATAAACATAATAAAGTAAGGGTTTCGAATTCGAAAAAATAAACAATTTAAAGAACAAAAAAATTAAAACAAGAAAATTAAATAAAAAACTGAGGATGTCAAAAAGAACTAAAAAAATAAAGATAATAATGACAGTTTCTTAAATTTTATTTTTTTTTGATTATACATTTTACAAATTACTCACCGAATGTTGTACAGCTCTTATCCTTTTTTTTAATATTCTTACAATTTTTTTAAGTTTTTAGAAATTTTGTCTGTTGTGTAATGTGTATTTTTTGTTTTTTTATTCTCTTACTACTATGTAAAACAAAACAAAATGTTGCTTTTGTGTAATTTTGACACCAAAATAACCTGATTTGAGTCCACTTGAAATCTCCTGTTTAGTGTTTTACATACATTTCGACCTATGATTAGTATCATTATTAAATTATTAAATAAAAAAACAAAAATTTGTGGTTTATTTAATTTTGACACCAACCAAAACGGATTTACGTCCACTTGAAATGTTCTAGTTATACGTATTTTGGCCTGTTGTAACTATCGTAATTATTAAGGACTAATATTTTTAAATGAAAAAAACGTGGTTTTATTTGTTTTGCCTCCGACTTGACCAATTTTGTGTCCACTTGAAGTGTTTTAAATTAAATAAAAATTTGCAAACTTAATCTGAAGAAAACGAGAAGAGTTATTTTAATAAAAATGAGAAATAAAATAGTGAAATTTGAGAATATGTAGTATATGGAAGTAGAATCAAAAAATTGTTGTGGCATAATAAAAAAACAAATCCGGCAACACAAAAATAAAGAAAAAAATTATTTGTCTAAAAAAAAAAGAAACAGGTTGAAACAAAACCTGAAACGGTAATTTAACAATTGGGAAAAGATATAACAAAAAAATTCAGGAAACAAAAAAGAAAAACGAAACAAAAAAAACGAAAAACGAAAAAATCATATAAAAAGTTAAGTGTGTTGGAAAAAAAACAAAACAAGGTGAAAATAATGAAAAAGATAAAGAAATTCGGTACTTGACCATTTAAATATATTTTTTTCTTTATACGTCTTACTTCATGTTGTAAAGCTCTTATGCTATTTTTCTTGTTTTTTTATTCTTACAAATTTTTAATGTTTTTAGAATACTGGTGTAATTTTTTGTATCATAATTCTTATTACAATGTAATAAGAATGTATGTGTTTTGCCACCGACTTGACCAATTTTGAGACCACTTGAAGTGTTTTGAATTAAATAAAAACTTGCAAATTTAATGTGAAGAAAATGAGAAAAATTATTTTAATAAAAATAAGAAATAAAGAAGTGAAATTTGAGAATAATATACGGAAGTAGAATCAAAAAATTGTCATGGCATAATAAAAAAAGAAAACCAATCTGGCAACACAAAAAATAAAGAAAAAAACTTATTTTTTATCTATGAAAAAAGGAAACAGTGGTTGAAACAAAACCTGAAACGATAATTTAACCAAAAATTTAGAGAACAAAAAATAAAAACGATACAAGAAAAAAAGCGTAAAACAAGAAAACCAGATAAAAACAACGAATGTCGAAAAAAAAACTGAAGAAGGTGAAAATAATGGAAAAAAATAATGATAAAGTTTCGAAGATATCGAAAATTATTTGTTTTTTGAAACATTTATTTGCAATCTGTTCAAACAAAAAAGAGAAGCTTCTAGTAAAAATTCTACGAAGCCATTACTTTGCGAATCTACCTATGTTTATTAAGATTTTTTGGTAATTTTTTACAACCTTTTTTTAACACAAAATATTTTTTATTATTAAACCTGGAATCTTAAATTCTATTTTCTTCTTTGACCTTTTTTCCATTTGAAAATCGATTAGAAAATTGCTCATTAGAGCAACTAGACAAAGTCTAATTTAATGAGAGTTGAAATATTCAAATCAAAATATTACTTAAGTTTCGGTAAATTATAAATCAACATTCCAACTACTAATTAATTTAAAAATTTAAGTTTACGCATTGCTCAAGAAACGTATTTAAAACATACAATTGCTTCCACTTCGTAATGTAATGAAAGAAACTTTCTTTCAGTCTTTCACTCATCTTAATCTTTTAATTCATTCATTGATTCAACTCAATTAAATAAAACTATTTTATTGCATTTTAAAACATAGTTAAGGATTTCTATGAATAAAAATGCAACAAAATTTCAGGTTTTTACATTTTTTTCAGACTTTTATGTACACATCATCACATCACTTTTCTATTTTTTTTTCGATACGTTTAGTAAGATTTATGCAATGACAAGGTATAATTTATAAGATTTAATGCACGCTAAAGTGTTTAAGTCCATATCAATAAAAATGGTCATATTATTACACCATACGTAATTAATCTCGCAAAAATAACACACCAATTTATCAAATCATGATAATGGAATGCATACTCCCCGATTAAATGATTGTTAAAAAAAAATTGACATTTAAATTTGGTAACCTTGCTCTGCAGTGAATCTGGTCCGATGAAATAGTTTATGTTTCATCTCTCATAGTGGGAATTTCTTATATAAAAGCAATCATCCGAATTTTAAAAGTATCACTGTTTCATCAACCAAATCGTGTGCACCTCATCGAAAAAAAATGAGACGAGTAATCCTCCCATAACAGTTAATTAATTATTTTAATTGACAAATTTTAGGTTTTTCTTATTAGTGCCCTTTGTGGTCTCGCCGCCTGTGCCGGCCCCAACCAATACCTGCCCCCAAACCGAGGTTCCTTCAGTGGAAACAACCGCTTTTCCTCCCCTTCATTCAGTGGCGGCAGTGGAGGCGGCGGTTTCTCCTCCCCCAGCCAACAAGTCCCAATTCTTCGCCTTGATAACAACAATGAGGGTGATGGAAACTACCAATACGCCTACGAAACGGGTAATGGGATTGCCGCCCAAGAAAGGGGTCAATTGAGAGGTGGTGATTGGGTGGCTGCTGATGGTTCCTTCTCGTTTACTTCGCCAGAAGGTCAACAATTCAGTATTACGTATACTGCTGACGAAAATGGGTTCCACCCGCAAGGTGCCCATCTTCCCACGCCTCCGCCAATTCCTGAAGCGATTTTGAAATCGATTCAACAGAATTTGGCCGAAGAAGCTCGTGGGGGGTACCAGGATGATGGGCAATATAATGGGGGACATGGAGGGTCTGGAAGCTTTGGAGGGTCAGGGTCTAGAGGGTCGTCTGGGTCTGGTGGATACAGATATTAGTTTTCCAAAGTGATTGTTCAATAAAGTGCATCTTAGAATAATAAATTATACACAATTATACAGTTTTTTTACAACTCCGATTTATATCTAGGAAAACATTGCTTTTTTATAATGGTCAAAAGTCAAAGTTTCAAAGAAAATTTTTTGAATTGAATAAAAAATAATTGGTTCATGTGAATCTCTAAATTTTTCAAAACAAAAAACAGGTGTCAATAAATATGAAAATACAGAGCGTTTCAACAAATTAGTAAACTCAATTATTGATCTTTTAATGATAAAGTATTAAAAATTTGTACAAAAGTGATATAGATACTAATTTAGCAAATTTTATTTTCGACACCAAGAAGTAAAAAATGTAAAAAAAATAAAAAGTACTAATTTAGTGTAACACCTGAAATTATTTTCCAATTTACAGGGTGTTAATTTTTTAATGCTGATGTTGTTAAGCTACACTTTTATTGGTCGATTTCGCTTAGTTTTCGAAATAATTGGGTTTCTTAGACAATCAATTACACAAAAAGCAAGATTAATAAAAAACAAAACGTTTACTACTTTAAAGAAAAAAAAAATAAAATTTAGGTAAAATTAATTATTTTTTATTATACAAGAGACTTAAAATTTATTGGTTTTAGCAAGACAGTTTAAGAATCTTTCAGATGCAAAGACAAAAAGAAACTTAAATTGTTTTACGTTGTTTAACTTTTTTATGCTTTTTATTTATTTATTTGTTTGTCTCAAGAAATCAAACCATTTCAATATTCTTTTTATCTATTTTTTGAATGTCTACTACTGTTTCAAAATATGTATATCTCCTAATTTATTAAGATAAATCAAATATTTTTTTTAAATTCGATATTATTTTTAAAAGTTCCGATTAACATTTTTTATATTGGAGAATTTTTCTAATTTTTTTTTTTCGAAAAAAAATAATTAGTTCATGTGAATCTCTAAATTTTTTAAAACAAAAATTTCATTCGCGACACCAAGAAATAAAAAATGTAAAAAAATAATAAGTACTAATTTAGTATAACACCTGAAATTATTTTCCAATTTACAGGCTGTTAGTTTTTTAATGCTGATGTTGTTACGCTACACTTTTATTGGTCGATTTCGCTTAGTTTTCGAAGTAATTTGGTTTCTTTGATATTTAAAAAACTGTTACACAAAAAGCAAGATTAATAAAAAAACAAAATATTTACTACTTTAAAGAAGAAAAAAAATTAAAATTTTGTTAATATTAATTATTTTTATTATACAAGAGACTGAAATTTTTTTGGTTTTAGCAAGACAGTTTAAGAATCTCTTAAACTTAAATTGTTTTACGTTGTTTAACTTTTTTTATTTTTTTTATTAATTTATTTTTATGAGTGCAGTGCGCTAATAGTTTTGAAGTTTGAGCTTTTTTGGAGTGGTAAAAAGTGTATTTTTTTAGTTTTCTTGGGATTTGTGTACTAAATTTAGAAAATTTGTTTGTCTCAAGAAATAAAACTATTATCAAGATAAATCAAATATTTTTTAATTCCGGTTTTGTAATAAGTATAAAACTATTTAAATTCGATATTATTTTTAAAAGTTCCGATTAACATTTTTTATATTAGAGAATTATTCTAATTTTTTTTCGAAAAAAATAATTGGTTCATGTGAATCTCTAAATTTTTTAAAACAAAAATTTCATTCGCGACACCAAGAAGTAAAAAAAAATAAAAAGTACTAATTTAGTGTAACACCTGAAATTATTTTCCAATTTACAGGGTGTTAATTTTTTAATGCTGATGTTAAGCTACACTTTTATTGGTCGATTTCGCTTAGTTTTCGAAATAATATGGTTTCTTTGATATTTAAAAAAACTGTTACACAAAGGCAAGATTAATAAAAAACAAAATGTTTAATATTTTAAAGAYGAAAAAAAAATTGTTAAAATTAATTATTTTTTATTATATGTCTTAAAATAAAATTTTTTGGTTTTAGCAAGACAGTTTAAGAATCTCTTAGATGCAAAAGAAACTTAAATTGTTTTACGTCGTTTAACTTTTTTTATTTATTTATTTGTTTGTCTCAAGAAATCAAACCAATTCAATATTCTTTTTTTCTATTTTTTGTATGTCTACTATTGTTTCAAAATATGTCACCTAATTTATCAAGATAAATCAAATATTTTTAAATTCGATATTATTTTTAAAAATTCAGATTAACATTTTTTATATTATCTAGAGAATTATTCTAATTTTTTTTTCGAAAACTGTCATCAAATGTTGATATTTTCGCTAAATTCTCAGAATGCGAAGTGACTCTACTCATTAATGAGGAACTGACTAAAATAAAACTCAATTCTAGTACGCATATCGTCATGTTTCAACTCGCTTAATAAGAATTTATTAGAGAAAAAAAAATCAAACTCAAATAAATTTGTCATTTTATTTGCAAAAGCCGTTAAATTTTTTACAATGACAATATTTGAGCCACATACTGGTCCTGCTTTGTTTTTGCCTTTCAAACTACAAAAAATTTATTTATTTATGAAAAAAAAAACTCACCTTCAAGAAAAATAAATAAGTACATTCCACAAAGTTTTCTTTGAGTTTTTGTCGTAAAGAGACAATTTTATATTTTCTCAAATCCCATAAAACAAAAAATATTTTGGGAAGAAACAGAAAACTTCTAATTAAAATAGTTTTATTAATATTTTTTTTCCCTTTGAAAGTTGTCAAAACCCTTGACTTACTAAGTTAATAAACAAGAAATTGCATTCGATTTTCACCAAATAAGTCATTCAGGTTTTTAATTTATCCTTTGATAAAATAAAATTCAATTAAATCAAACAATGTTTTGCACAGCTTAAGGCATCAACTCAACTGATTCCAATCATTTTATGTCTCGCACCCATCTTATTATTCTCTCAAGTATCACAATAATGTTTCAATTAACTTTAGACTGACATTTAATAAACACACCAACCTATCGAAAGATAATTAAAACTGAAAAGCTTCGATTTTACTGAAGCAAAAACTAAAGAAACACAGTAATTATAGGTTAAATCGTTAAATTGAGCTTCTGGTACTAATTACATGACCAGAAAATTTTTTTGTATAAACTTTTAGCAAACTATTTCAAGTGGACAGTTATTTTACTCTGAAATCTAAAGAAAAAACACGAACTAATAGCCACTTCCTCTGTTATTACACCAAAGTGGGCGTTTCTTGCAAGTTCATTGACTAAAATATTTTTCAATTATAACAATCAAATCTGAAGTAACCTTGCTCTGAAATTCATCTTCTTTTGCAATCCAAGAAACAATTAATAGTGGGGTAGCCGCTATAAAAGCAATCCATCCACTTTTTTCCTTATTATTTCACAAAACAGTTACCAAAAATGTTACAGGTGACTTTTTCCCTCTGTTTGCTCTGTTTGGTCAGTGGTGCACAATATTTACCCCCGTTTTTACGTGGTTTTGGACAACCAAACATCCAAATTCTACGTTTTGATAACAGCAACAACGGTGATGGAACTTACAATTACGCCTACTCTACTGCTAATGGAATTTCGGCTCAAGAACAAGGATTTTTGAAAAATGTTGGGTCAGCTAATGAGGCCGAAGTTGCACAAGGGTCGTACTCATACACCGCCCCAAATGGTCAACAAATTTCAGTGACTTATACAGCGGACGAAAATGGGTTTCATCCTCAGGGGGCTCATCTTCCAACGCCGCCACCGATTCCAGATGCTATTTTAAGGTCGATACAATTCAATAGGGCGCAAGGGGGCTATGATGATGGGCAGTATCGCCCCCAGAGTGGCTTTACGGCGTCGGGGTTTTATAATCAAGGTTATCGATACTAGAAGAAATGCTCGCTTATTTAGTATTTATTGTGAAAATAATCATATTTATTACGAAAATATACGATATTTTGATATCTATTGCCAGTTTTTCTTTTATATCACTTTTTTTAATAAAAAAAAATAATATATTATATCACAAGGTACCAAATGTGGTGTTTTTATACTAGTTTAATGATTTGCTAAAGACTTTTGTAAAAATTCTAATTTCTGATGATTTTTTTAGAAACGTGACTGAAGTTCCAGCAAAAAAAAATGTTAAAATAATTCGCCCAAATGTTAGTAAAATTAACTTTTTTAATTATTGATATAGTAAATTCAGTCAAAAATGATGACACTATTGGTTTGCATTTTTTAGCCACGCAGAAACTCAAATACTAAATTTTCTCAAAACAAGTTGAAAAATCGAGATATAGTTTTGTTTTTCGAAATGTTATTTTATTCAACAAGGTAAAAAATCGCTAAAATGGGTCAAAAAGTACATTATTTTGTCCATTTCTGAGCATCTTAGTATGTTTTTAGCCAGAAACAGAAATTTTGCAAAATTTAGTTAAAAATAAATCAAAAGTTTATCAAATTAGGCTAAAACTAGTGTCATTTTTGCATTTTTAGAGTATCTCAGCACGTTTGTAGAATACATTGAAATTTTTGCTAAAACTGATTGAAAAATTACGAAATTACCTATTTTAAAATAATTTTTATAATTAGAGTATTCGCCCAAATGTTAGTAAAATTATCTTCTGTTATTCTTTTTTCAGTTCTCAAATTAAAAAAATTAAATGTGTCACGGGACTCACAGGGGATGACGAAATTGAGCGACTTTGTCAAAAAAAATTGTTAATGTAAAAAATGTTATTTAAACTCAAATAAGAGTTCAAATATGTTTTTTGGAACCGATTAAAATGCTCTATGAGAGTAGTTTTCGAGATATTGACACATTTTGTAATGAATTTTTATAATTCTAAAAACTTCTTCTTTTTTTAATGCTCAGGGATGAGACAATTGAGTGACTTTTGTAAAAAAAATTGGTTATTGTAAATTGTACATAAAAAAATTGTTTTTTTTTAACCGATTAAAATGCTTTACGATGAGTTTTTTTTAGAACCGATTAAAATGGTTTACGATGAGTGGTTTCCAAGATTTTGACCCATTTTAAACGTTATTTTGTGATGAATTTTTAGACTACTAATAATTTCTTTTTTTATCAGGGTTCAAATAAAAAAAATGTGTCACAGGGGGGATAAGAAAATTGAGTGAATTAAAACAAAAAAAATTTGTTATTGGAATTTTTTTTTTCTTAATTCAAATAAGAGTTCAAAATATGTGTTTTTTTGGAACCGGTTAAAATGCTCTATGACGTGTACTTTTGCCACATTTTGAACGTTTTGTGATGAATTTGGAATAGTAAAAACTTCTTTTTTTTTAGTGTTCAAACAAAAGAAAATAGAAATGTGTCACAGGAAAGATGAGAATATTGAGTAACTTTTGTAAAAAAAAATCATTGTGAATACATAAAAAAATGTTTTTTTAAACCGTTTTCGACACATTTTGTAATGAACTTTTGGAATAATAAAAACTTCTTTTTTTATTTCAAACAGAAAAAAAGCGGAAATGAGTCACAGGAAAGATAAGAATATTGAGTAACTTTTGTAAAAAATTTCGTTGTTGAAATACATAAAAAATTATCTTCTGTTATTTGATTTATTAATTATTGATATAGTAAATTCAGTCAATAATGAAGACACTATTTTTTGTATTTTTCTGAGCATTTTGTACGTTTTTTCAATCATACAGAAACTCTCAAAAACAAGTTGAAAAATCGAGAGATAGTTTTGTTTTTTTTAATGATATTTTACTCAACAAGGTAAAAAAAATTGCTAAAATGAGTCAAAATGTACATTATTTTGTCCATTTCTGAGCCTTTTAGTATGTTTTTAGCCAGAAACAGAACTATTTTACAAAATTTCCTTAAAAACAAACCTAAAATTTATCAAATTAGGTCAAAACTAGTGTTATTTTTGCATTTTTAAAGTGTTTCAAAACGTTTTTAAAAAAACATTAAAATTTTTGCTAAAACTGACTGAAAAATTACGAAATTAGATTGAAATTGATATCATTTAAGTGTGTTTGCTAAAAGAAACCAAAAAAAATGAAATTAAGTCATCATTTTTTGTCATTATCAACTGTTTTAACATGTTTTTCAAATAAAAACGTTAATGTCGGGTGACTGTAAATGATTGTCATTTTTTACCTAAAGTTGGTGTCAAATTTAAAATTTTAGTTTGGCAACTTTGACTTTCAAATTTAAACGTCAAGCTTTTATAGGCAATTGTCATTCATTTACGACGAGCGACTGCTGATTTAGCCGTCTGATGTAATAAATTAGAAGGATTACGAATAATTCAGTGTTGCCAATAGATTTTTTGTCACAAACATTAATAGTTACCTGATATTTAATTAAAAACTAGCCAAAAAAGTATAGAATTAGCCTAAATAAAAAAGCGTTACCTATTTTTCGAGCATTTAGGCACATTTTTTAACAAATTTGCGAGATTTGTGTAAAAAGCGTGAATCTTCGACAGTAATAAAAAAAATTAGATCATATAATCTGGCGAAAATAGGTGTAAATCTGGTAACTTTTTAGCTTTTTGAGCTGGCAACACTGAACTTCACAACCTCTCCATAAGCTAAATAATATTAATGGTATCTTTTATAGCTAGTAGTGAAAAAATTAATTTAAAAAATTATGTAAAAAATCTGAAATATCTAGCATTCATGTTGCAATTAATCAGTAGACGAAATTCCATAAAAAAGGTCAATAAAAAAATCCGCGAAAAGATTACTTATTTTCAAAAAATGCAACTACATTAAATTTAGCCTTGCCCTGTGTGTAGGTAATCTGGTTCTGTCATCTTTTCTAGTGGGATTTAAAGTATAAATACAAAAATTGCACTCAAAACCACCAAACCATTTACCACCATGCAATCAGTAAGTACAATTACAATAATTACAATAAATTAACATCAATTATTTTCAGTTTGTAGTAATTTTGGCGGTCGTTAGTGCCGCCGCCGCCGCTCGTCTCGACAACTTATACCTGCCTCCCTCTTCCGGGGGCGGCGGCTCAAGTTTCGGGGGCGGCGGCACACTCGGAGGCAAGTCTCCGTCCCCCGGAGCCGCTATTCCAATTTTGAAACTGGAAAACGTCAACAACGGCGATGGGAGTTACAATTGGGCTTACGAAACCGGAAATGGGATTGCGGCTGACGAAAGGGGCCAATTGAAAAATGCCGGATCAAAAAACGAAGCCCAATCTGCGAGTGGATCTTTCAGTTATACCGCCCCCGATGGTCAAAAAATAACGGTTTCGTATATTGCTGACGAAAATGGTTTCCAACCGCAAGGGTCTCATTTGCCCACGCCGCCCCCAATTCCGGAGGCTATTCTGAAGTCGCTTCAGCAGATTAAGGCTAGTGGGGGTGGGCAATATAGTGTGCCTGCCGGTGCTGGGGCTTTGCCCCTTCAGCCCACGCAGGGTGGGTACAGATACTAATTTTTGATGTAAATTATTGTGAGTTAAATGTGAAAAATAGTACAATATAAATGAATTTGATAATTTATTAATTTTTTATTTAGCAAACCCTGAAAAAACTGTTACTTTCTATTACTCAATAATCTTTACCTGAAATTTAAATAAAAACAAAATGACAAAAAAACGTAGTTTGAACTTTAACGAACTGTGATTTAGGGGTTTTATAAAAAGATACAAAATTTTCCTAAATTTTTTGGTGATTTTTAAAAGGCTGTAACTCAACGAAAAATGGTCGTATTTAGATTAAAAAAAAAACATTTTGAAGCTTTCAGTTTCTAGTGTTGAGATCTTTTGGCAAATTCGTGCTACGGTTATCACCCAATTCAAAGTAATAGCGCGAGAAAAAAAGAAAAAAAAAAAGAGAAAAAAGTAAGTTTTTGCGTTGTTTTAGTAAATCTATTCACTAATATTGATGGGGAGACTAATGTTTTTCATCTGTTTCGCGTTTTTCACCGAAAATCTCATTAAATTCACAAAATTTGTCAAAAATAATGCAAAAAAATAAAAAAAAAACAGTCACAAAATATATTATTTACGTCTACTTCTCTGGGTTTTGGATGACTTTCAAAAAAACTTTTTTTGGCGAAAGAAAACAGAAAATCGCAAAATTGTATCTAAAAAGTGTTATTTTTTGCTTGTTTTAGTGCTTTAACAAGAAGTACAGTAAAATCAAAAAAAAATCTAAAATATTGCAGAAAAATACATTGTCAAATTTTTTCTAGATTTTGATAGAAGTTAACAAAATTTGAACGATTTGGTCAAAAAATTCAGAAAATTGAAAAAATAAGGCCTAAGATGCTTTATTTTCGGCCGTTTTTTCCAGTTTTCGAGTCTTTTTACCGAAAAGCTAATTAAATGGAAAATATTTGTCCAAAATACTGCAGAAAATCAAAAGATTTAGCCAAAAAAGCGCCAAATTTGATCAAAAACACAAGATTTTTAAAAATCGAGAAACAGCGATTAAATTCCTTAAATTCAAAAAATTTGTCAAAAATAATTCAAAAAATAAAAAAAAATTGTCACAAAATATGTCATTTACGTCTACTTCTCTGGGTTTTGGATGATTTTCAAAAACACTTTTTTGGCGAAAGAAACCAGAAAATCGCAAAATTGTATCTAAAAAATGTTATTTTATTATCCTTTTATAATTTTTTGGAAAATATTTTTTTTTCATCTTTAACATAATTTAAAGAAAATAGAAAAAAGTAAGTTTTTGCGTTGTTTTAGTAAGTCTACCGCGTATTCACTAATATTGATGGGGAGACTAATGTTTTTAGGTGTTTTTATAGTTTAATGTTCCCCCCATATCCCTGTAAATTTTTAAATCGATCCATCAAACCGTTTTCTCAGACCGATTGATCAAAATTTTGCAAAAGAATTAGAGAGAAAAGAAAAAAAAAGAAAGAAAGTTTCTTTCATTACATTACGAAGTGGATTTGTATTAAATCATCTTTGTTTTAAATACGTTTCTTGAGCAATGCGTAAACTTAATTTTTTAAATTAATTAGTAGTTGGAATGTTGATTTATAATTTACCAAAACTTGACTAATATTTTGATTTGAATGTTTTAGCTCTCATTAAACTAGTTTTTCTTATTACTAAATTATAGTAAAATGAGCAATTTTCTAATCAACTTTTCATTATCTTCACCTTTTTTACCTATTTTACTTCTTTTACGTTTTTTTTTCTTGTATCGTTTTTATTTTTCGTTCTCTAAATTTTCTGTTATATTGTTTAATTACCGTTATTTCAGGTTTTGATTCAACCACTGTTTCGTTTTTTCTTAGATAAGTTTTTTTCTTTATTTTTTGTGTTGCCGGATTGGTTTTCTTTTTTTATTAAGCTATGACAATTTTTTGATTCTACTTTCGTATGTTATTCTCAAATGTCACTTCTTTATTTCTCATTTTTATTAAAATAATTCTCATTTTCTTCACATTAAGTTTGCAAGTTTTTATTTAATTTAAAACACTTCAAGTGGACTCAAAATTGGTCAAATCGGTGGCAAAACAAATTTTACCACGTTTTTTTCATTTAAAAATATTAGTCCTTAATAATAATTACGATAGTTACAATAGGCCAAAATACGTATAACTAGAACATTTCAAGTGGACGTAAATCCGTTCTTGTTGGTGACAAAATTAAATAAACCATGAATTTTTCAAAGACTTGTCTTGTTTTACATCGTAATATTCTTATGATACAAAAAATCACACCATAATTCTAAAATTTGTAGGAATAAAAAAAATAAGAAAAATAGCATAAGAGCTTTACATGAAGTAACACGTATAAACAAAAAAAATAAATATTGAAATTGTCAAGTAGGTCTACCGAATTACTTTATCTTTTTCATTATTTTCACCTTGTTTAGTTTTTTTTTTCAACACACTTAATTTTTTATCTAATTTTCTCGTTTTACTTAAAGCTTCAAAATGTTTTTTTTAATCTAGATACGACCATTTTTCCATGAAAATCACCAAAAAAATTGGGAAAATTTTTTGTTCCTTTAATTTTCTGCAGTAGTAAATTAAATGTTTCAACTTTTTTTTATTATCCTTCCAACAGTGAAAAAAAATGTTATTTAATAATATACTATTTTTAGTTGAAAAGTACCTTATTTGAGCAATAACAGTCAGTATAAATTCTTTCCTATGCTAAATCTATTTTATTTTAAATTACACATAATAATAATTATAATAAAAATAACTGTCACCCATTATAACAGATTTTATTATTCTGTAATATTTCTCGATGGTTGTGTTTTTTTCATCAAGTTGTTTAAAAGCCTTATAAAACGATTGTGGTGAGTCATAATTCCACAGTTTCATCTCGCTTTTTTTATTTTGTGATTATCTTATCAATAAAAAGCCCAAATCAGTTATAGTTTTGAAAACAAACGTTTGTGATAAACTCATTATTTGTGTAATTTATGAACATTTCCTGTGCAAGTCTATTTCTGCATGTGCCATGTCCAAATATTTATAAACAAACTTTTCTAAAGAGAAGAATTAGTGACAAGATTGAGGTCAACCATCTCATAATTCAAAATTGTGCTCGCAAATGTGTTTCAAGGAATGAAAAACGGTTTACTTTGTGACATCACAAATTATTTAATGCTATGCGGCTTGGTATACAAATTAGATTTATATTACAATATAATACACAAAAGATTAAAATAATATATGAATGAATAATAATTTCATCATGTAAAATATCATAAAAAAAGAGTTTGGAGTGCTTGAAACAAACATGATCGATTTACAATCTAAAATCTATACATCTTAAGCATATTATAAGCTGCATTTACATACACATATAAACAAGGGACGTTATGTACTTATATTTAAAAATATTAAATAATCTCTGCACAATTCGTGTTTATTAGCAATCTTTATCAAGTATTATTTTTTACGAAAAATAATGCCGATGTTTAATTCCGACTTTCGTTCCAGACACACAAACACAACAAATAATATTAACAACAATAACTCTATAGAAGAACATTTACAAGTTAAAACATAGACAACTAAATCTTGCTACTGAATACACCGTTAATCCGAAAATTTTTGTCATATAGTAGATGAAAAGCTAAAATATATAAAAAATACTTGTACTATCATTCATTCTAGACTTGTATATATTTATACAAATGTTAAACTAAATATAATATGTTTGTGTTCCCATCATTCCCACAACCATAAGAAATAATCCGTGAAACACAAACAACATTACAGTAATACAATGTAAAAATATGGTAAATTTTAATATAGGTATATAATCACATTTGTTTAGTTCATTTTAGTTTTATCTCCCGTTTTTGTACAAATAAAAATCACAAAAAAATAAAACGATTCACAAAATATTTTTGACTAGAGTCGAATTTTTCCAACGAGAAATAAAACCGATTCTTGCGCTAGTATTGCTTTGAAAATTAAGTAGAGATTCAAGAAACAGAATAGCACTAGTATTTGTGTGACTGGTTAAAGCATAGGTAAGCATTCTCGGTGTAAAAACGTTTTTTTTTTTCGATTTTCTCTCACTTGGAAACAGCTTTTGATTATTTCGAGGCAAATTCTGAGTCACTGATCAACATAAATTATTACTGCAATGATATGTTAATAATTGAAAACTGTTTCAGCTTTTTGTACTAAAAACATCACAGTTACGCCAAATCGAAGTTGAATCGTTTTTACACCTTGCTATTTTTATAAAATATTTAACAGTAACAAGTCTATTGACTATCTGTTGTCAGCAGTTATTGTATAACACAGCACTTGCACTTGGGTTTCTTTTTTATCGTAACATGTTCGACCTCTCCGTCTGGTTTAATTGTCCCTCGTTTAACGTCGACAGCTCCTGGAGTATTGTTAGATTTGTCGTTTTTGACGTTGCCGTTAGCACTTTTTGGGGTGGCATTCAGTTCGGTTGCTTTTTTCGGACTTTGTGTGATGGGTTCCGATAGATTGTTTGTTTGGTTCTTATCGGTTTCGTCTAAAGAGGGTAAAGGGGGCGCCGAACTGTCGGGTGTAGGCGTGATCGGTTTGCCCCCTTTTATTAATTCTACTATCTCGTCGGCTTCTCGACTCAAGTCGCCGCCGGGACGAAAAGGATTCTCCCAGCCGCTTTCCGTACTAGAACAAAAAAAGATTCATTAAGCAAGAGGAAAAAAATCAAAGTTTTAAGTGAAGCAACCACACAGTGATTTGTAAAATTGACATTACATTAGAATGAACTAATTTTTCATCGAAATTTGTTAAAGAAAATAAATAAGAATTCGAGTAAAAAAATCTGTTTTTTTTTGACTTTTTTTGAGCACTGAAGCACGTTTTTCAGGCTAAAACACAATTTGTGAAACTTCGTCATAATTGTGACGACGGTAGAAAAATTACCAAATAAAAACGTACGTTTTTTTGCAAGATATCGTTAAAACAGTCCAAAAATCACTAAATTAGACCTAAAATAATATTATTTTTGCTTGGATTCGAGACTTTTAGCACGCGTTTCAGGCAGAAACGTTATTATTTTTCAAAAGTCAAAATTAAGCTAAAAATTCACGAAATTATGACAAAAACCAAAAATTTTTGAGCCTTAAGACATTTTTGAGTTAAGAAAAAATAATTAGTTTCGAAAACTTTTCCTGAAATCACTAAGTTTGGTCAAACATGACGAAATTTTGAAAGCCAGAAACGACAAAAATTTCTGAAATCTCGACAATAACGGTATTTACATATCATATCAGCTTTTCATTAAGCAAAAGTAGAAAAAACAAAGTTTTAAGTGAAGCAACCACACAATAATTTGTAAAATTGACATTAGACATTAAACTGAACTAATTTTTCATCGAAATTTGTTAAAAGAAATAATTAAGAATTCGAGTAAAAACATTGATAACCATGTTAAAAAGTTGGAATTTTTGACTCAATTTTCTAATTTTTTTGATTATTTTGACAAATTTTTGCTCAAAAATTAGTTAAAGCGAATAAAAAAACAGAATATCATCTATTCTAATTTGTTTTTGTGATTTGTAGGCGTGTTTTAACAAAATCTTACAAAATAATTGAATCTTTTACGAGCGAGGAAATTTAATTTGGTCAATTTTTAAGAAATTTTTTGAAAAAAATTGATTTTATCTGAAGAACGTGCTCAATTATTTAAAAAAGTTAAAAATAACACAATTTTTAGGTTAATGTGGTCCATTTTCCGCTTGTGATTGCAAAATCAATTTTGGTGATTTTTTGACTGTTTTAGAGAAATCTTGCAAAAAAATTTAAGATTTCATTTGGAAAATATGGTTGAAGGTTTGAAAATGGTAAAAATAACATTATTTTCGACCAAATTTTGTGTTTTTTTTTTTGTTTTTTTTGACTATTTTTTTCAAAAATTAGTTAAATCGGGAGAAACAACACTTTATACATGTTTTGACAAGATCTTTTTTGGGCAATTTTTTCAGGCTGAAACACACTTAATTTCTTAATTGTGACGGTGGTAAAAAAATTACCATATTAAAATGGAATGTTGTCAATTTAGCCTTTTTCGAGCATTCGAGCTAAAAACAGTTTTTTTTTTGCAAGATTTCACTAAATCACTAAATTAGATCTAAAATTATATTATTTTTGCTTGGATTCGAGACTTTTAGTATGTGTTTCAGGGAGAAACGCAATTATTTTTCTGTTAAATTAAAATTAAGCTACAAATTACGACAAAAACAAATTTTTTTGAGTTAAGAAAAACTAATTACTTTCGAAACATTTTGCTAAAATAACTAAGTTTGGTCAAACATGACAAATTTTTGAACGCCTTAGTGAGTTTTTCAGCCAAAAATTTCTGAAACCTCGACAAAAATAGTATTTTTTTCCTTTCAGCTTTTCAAGAGTTTTAGTGCGTTTTCAGCAAAAAAAATGTTTTTTTTTTTTATAAAACGAACCGTAAAATCAGTAAATTAGGCCAAAAATAAAATATCGTTTGCCTTTTTTTGAGTTTTGGTGTATTTTTCAGTCAAAAATGCAAAATTTTGTCCACAATAGGTCGAAAAATCACCAAATCACGACAAAAATGGTCAATAAATTAGGTAGAGAGAAAGTTTTAGTCAGTTTTCTAGTTTTTCGTTCTAATCTTCTAGAAACATTTTTTTGTAGTTTCTCAAAATTAAGCCCAAAAAATTCTGAGATCTTTGTCTTTGTTTAAGCTTTTAAGCCTGTTTTTGAGCCAAAAACCCAGTTTTTTAAAAAGTTATGCTAAAAGGAACCCCAAAATCACTAAATTAGGTCAAAAATAATATAAACTTTGCTTTTCTCGAAAGTTTTAGTGCATTCTTCAGTCAGAATTTCGCAAAATTTTGTCAAAAATAAGTTAAAAATTCACGAAATTACGACAAAAGTAAATTTTTTGAGCCTTAAGACGTTTTTTTGGGTTAAGAAAAAAATAATAAGTTTCGAAAAATGTTGCTAAAATCACTAAGTTTGGTTAAACATGACAAAATTTTGAAAGCCTTTGTGAGTTTTTCAGCCAGAAACGCCAAAAATTTCTAAAATCTCGACAAAAATGGTATTTTTTCTTCTCAGCTTTTCAAAGTTTTAGTGCGTTTTTCAGCCAGAAATTTTTTGTCGCCTTTTTAAAGCGTTTAACCAAATTTTTAAGCTAAAAAATGTAGAAAACGAATCGTAAAATCAGTAAATTCGGTCGAAAATAAAATATAGTTTGCCTTTTTTTGAGAGTTTTGGTGTATTTTTCAGTCAGAAATGTAATTATTTTGCAAAATTTCGTCCACAATAGGTCGAAAAATCACCAAATCACGACAAAATTGGTCAATAAATTACACCAAAAATTAAATAAATTTTGAATTTTTTGAAGGTTTTAGTGGGTTTCCTAGTTTTTCTTACTAATTTTCTAGAAACATATTTTTTGTATTTTCTCAAAATTAAGCCAAGAAAATTCTGAGATCCAGAAAACAACGGTTTTTCTCTTTGTTTGAGCTTTTAAGCCTGTTTTGAGCTAAAAACCCAGTTTTTTTCAAGAGTTTTGCTAAAAAGAACCACAATATCACCAAATTAGGTCAAAAATAATATAAACTTTGCTTTTCTCGAAGGTTTTAGTGCATTCTTCAGCCAGAAATGCAATCATTCGCAAAATTTTGTAAAAAAATAGCTAAAAAGTCACCAAATCAAGTCAAAAATGGTTTAATTTTTCAAGCGTTTAAGCAAGTTTTTGAGAAAAAAATAATTTTTCGGAAAATTCTGTTTAAAACACTAAATTAGGTCGAAAATTTTTGCCTGTTTTGAGTGTTTAAGCACCGGCTTTTTCCTGTTGTTTAACATCTAAAAAGTTAAAGTCTCTGTAGTAGGAAAAAATGTTGTGCCTGATATCGGATATCAGGCAAGTAGATAATTTTATGGTTATAAGCTTGGTCAAATTTGATACCTAAATATATCATTTCTCCAAGAGCTTGGAAACAGCTGTTGGGAATTAGCGGTCGAAGCATTACTACTAGGAAATGAGACATATTTACATACAAACCACTGACAGAATTACTTCTTCCGCACTAGATTTTCCTTTTTGCCTTTTAGAAAAAAGTGTGTAGGAAATCTGTTGCTTTTGTGGTGGATTTGATTAAGTAACAGGATTTGGTTTTTGTTTCTATTCTTTCTATTTTATGTCACCAAGAGCTAAACATAAAAGGTTCAATGCATTTTCTAACTAATTATCTATTTGTTTAAACAAAAATGCAATAAAATGCTACTCCATGTAATAATATAAATGAATTTAGAACAGTACATTTCTAAAAAGGTAGATCATTGACTTTGACTGTAATAAAGTGAAAAAAATATAAGCACAATTGAAGAATTTTTAGATTTTGGTATTTTTCGGGTACGAATATTTAAGCTTACTCAACATATTATAAAACATAAGTTTACGTATGTTATTGTATTTGAAATTTTATTGACATTCTTATTCAAACAAGTTGTAATTTGTAATTATTGTTTCTAAAAAAGGGGAATTATAATTTTTTCCAGAGATTTGAAGATAAGTCATAATCATTTATAGTTGCAACAATTTGGTCTCCAAAAAGAAAATTGATTCAATACGGTTAAAAATCCTTTTCTTATTTTACTCTACTTTTTGCAATTTGTTGAAAACTACTCTAAAAGCCATTTTATTACAGTTTCATGACAAAAATGTCATTTCTTCTTTTTTAAAGAACAAAAAAATTACAGTATTACCTACTCAACATGATTTTCTTCGACCATTTTTTTTTAAATAATAGTAGTGAAATTTAAAGTAAACCAAAGATTAGTCAATACAGTGCATTTTTTATTCGTCTACGTTGCGTAATAGCCAATATAGCAGTTGAAATTGACCTTGCCAATGCCACTGATCCATTTTTACTCAAACATAATTAACTTTGATAATTGTAGAAATTTCACGCTCATTGTTAAATTCAATTGGGCGTAGTTAGACAACAATGAAAATAAATGATTGGTAAAATTCATTCATTCATACCTTGGTTCCTCCTTAGGCACCTTGACAACATAATACAAAACACCACCATGCGTCGTCATACTGGGCATAATTAATATTAATTGAATTTATAAAACGAATGAAAGCATCTTTGTAATTAATTATAAACACTGGGGGTCCCAATAGGGTACAGTGTATCACAGTTCATAACATAAGTCACTTGATTTAACCAATTTAATCACGGTTTTATCACAATAGTCTACTTTCGATGTCGGTGAAATTCGAAATAACTGATGGTCCCCTTCAAGCCTCCAAGCTAAATTAAGAAAAGTCAATGTCGAAAAATAAAACCAACACTAAAGCACGGTTTTTTTTCGAAAAATACGAATAAATGAAGAGCGAATGCTCTCCTCCGCATGACCAATCAAGCACGGACTGAATTTTGACCGATGTTGAGCACCACCACGTAGGAGTTGAGCGCATTGGCGCACTAAATTTAGGACAAGAGAGGTTGAAAAAAATGCTGACGTAACTGAAATGTCTTGGGAGTTACCAAGGGACAATTACCGGAACTCCGGAATACTCCGGAACCAGAAAAAGTGCACATTTTACTGCAAGTGCAGGAAATTGAAAAAGATGGAATTTGGTTACCCGTTATGAAAGGAACATTCGATTT